GCAGGTCGGTGAGAGGGGAGCTGTGAGGCCCTAGCCGTCATCCTGTGGTGAAGCAACGGAACATGGCTTCCTTGTGTAGTTTTTGTTGTAGTAACGAATAGACCACTGTGAAATGTTTCTAAAATTACACAACGGACGTTGGGGATGGGCCGGGGCACGCGGCTCGGTTTGGCAGACAGCACCTCACTTCTGTGCGTCTTGCGTTCTGACCTTGTGCGGCAAGGGAACGAGCGCCCTTGATTCGCTCCCTCAAGACTCCCCTCAGGTGGAACAGGTTCAAGTTACTTAATGTAACCGGAAAGGCGGTACGGCGCTGTGTCTCTGCCAGGGGCGAGTTGTTGAATTGCAACTCCTGGAGCTGCTGAAAGCCTTATTACGCTGTGTACCTGTTAAATCTTTGCACTTTCGAAGGGAAAGTCAGTTTTCTCAGTCCCTCCAAGACGGACTCCATTTGGGAGACATGAGCGAGTGGGAAAAGTTGGTTAGTTGTGTTTTCGGTGGGGAGCCAAATTTCCCCTACCCCAAATTTCGATCACTGCTGTTGCATAGAAAATCGCCATTATTCGAATGAGATAGTATTACAAAGAAAAGTTTTAGAACATGGCATTTTAAAATCACTGCTTCTTCCATACATTTTTATTATAATGCTGAGAAGTACTCAATTGGAAAGATAGTGCCCGTGCATACAAAGTTGTGAAACTGCTGTAAGCTGTAATGCAGCACAAGTTATTTTGCTTTGTACAATGCCAGAAACCTTATAAAAGTAAAACAATTGAAATAGTTTTGATTTCTTTAGTAACATTATCTCTGGAATTTAAACGAGCTTTAAAATTTAGCTTGATTGTGAGCTAGCTTCAGATGTTTCAGTTGGCTTTAAAACTAAAGCTTTTTTTAATCAAAAGAATGCAATTATTATAATATAAATTAGCAAGAACACTAATTTTATAGTGAATGGTGACTAATTTTATCTAGTTTCTTTTTCCCTTTTTTTCTTGCAAAGTCTTTTAAAACGACAACCTGTGAAAGTGACATAGCTATAATGAATGCTTATTATGATAAACTCCAAATTCTACTTAGATTATTAA